CCACTGGACCATGGAGCCCGAAGCCCTGAGCAGCACCACGGCTCAGCACCCGGGCCTCACTGGACCATGGAGCCCAAAGCGCTGAGTAGCACCACGGCTCAGCGCCTGGGCCCCACTGGACCATGGAGCCCGAAGCCCTGAGCAGCACCACGGCTCAGCACCCGGGCCTCACTGGACCATGGGTACCATTCTCATCTATCAGATGACATCACTTCACCAGCCACACATGGTGGCCACTGGTGAGCCACTGGAAGCCAGTGGACTCTAGGACTTCCTGGCTGGTCACGTGACCCGACCCCCCAAGCAGCTCAGCGGTCCCTCCTCAGGCATTACCTCAAGGACAACACTAAGGACTGATCCTCCTGGACTCTCCCCCAGAAATATGAACAGGGCTTTGACACGGACATTTTCTCCCTGTGGAAAATGATCCACTCCCATTTCTCCCCAATAACAAGCGTATCCTGTTATGTGAGACCTTAATTATACCGTTTATTCATTTGCTGGTTGTTCTGAGTCATTGTGTAAACTGATTGCCCAAACTTGGCATTTGCTCTAAGTTTAGTTCCATGTCTGGAGGCATCATGAGGCACGATGGTGGGGTGCCAAGAGCCTCAGGTAAGGAGGCAGGAGCCCTGGGTCCTAGACATGATCGCACCCCTAAGTCCAGCAGGTGTGACCTTGGGAAATCCCCTGAGCCCCCTTCAGGTATCTCCTCTGCTGAGAGCTTCTCTACAGGTAGACGTCATGGGGAACTCTGGCATCAAAAAGGGGCCAAGTCAGTGTCGGCAGACTTCAGCCCGGCTTCCCTGCGTGCTGACCTTGCCGGCTGTTCCCGGAAATGAAAACAGACCATTTTCCGGAAAGACTGAAGGCAAGCCCTCAGAGAAGGAGGAAGCTTCCTCCCCCAGCATCTCTACTTCTCCCTTCGCGCCGGGCAGCCCGGGCCAGGCAGGCGCCTTCGATCTGCCCCAGAAGACAGAGGAGCCGTGTAAAGTTTCCCCATTCTCACACGCTAGCTACCTCGGCCCCAGCCCTGAGGTCACCTCCGGTGAGCCCCAGCCCAAGGTCGCACAGGGAAGTGACAGAGGCAGGATTGGAAGCCAGGCTTTCTGACTCCAGAATCAGTGTTCTCGTCACGTCCTGTGATGAGGATCGATCCATCCCAGGATTGTAGGCCTGACAGGGACCTCAGAGGTCATCTCGACAGCTCCGTCATCTTAGCCGATGAGGAGACTGAGGTCCGGGGGGATTCAGTGACTTTACCCAGGTCTGGTGGCTGAGTGGAGCCCCTGTCCTCTGACTCCAGGTCCAGTGGGCTTTCCCAGAAGTCTTCCTCCTCCTGGGATGATGCCCCAAGTCGACCTCTGGCCCCGGGCAGCGATCCCTGGTCCCCTCCCCCACTCCAAAGTTACTCCCAGTGACTACAAACCCGCCACTCTGCAGGGCTGCACTTCACCCACCTGAGGCTTGATTATGAAGACAGGGGGGATGGGCCGAACGTGCAGGGTAGGGATTGGTTCCGCTTGGCTGTGCCTCTTTCTGAACCGAAAGGGAGTAGAAACCCTCCCAGTAATAATCGCTGGCTTCGTAGAGGCATCTAAAGCCTTACCTACATCATTTCACAACAGCCTCAACCCTGAGATGCAGGTGCTATTTACACATGGGGAACGTGGAGCTCAAAGGTGACTGTCCAAGGTCACATGGCCACCAAACGGCCCAGGAGAGAATCCAGATCCACTGGTCTGTGACTCCCAAGTCCAGCCTTTTAATCTTTCTGCAGCTATTCACAAGGAGGGTAGTGATTTAGCTCTTTTTGCTGAGCTCGACATTTAAATTTTCCTCTAAAAAATAAAAAAAATTACAGGGTATTTAGAATAAAGAAACCCAATTCTAGTTATGGTTTTCCAGTCTCCAGGAAGAGACTGTCTGCCTCTCAAGCAATCAATTAACCAATAAGCATGTGAGCTGCTGGGGTGACATGGGAATATCACATCTAAGAATTTTCCAAGCAAATCTTAAAAATATAGTGAACAGTGTGAAGGCAAGCCCGGACAAGCTTGATTCTTTATGTCTCACCTTATCCCAAGCAGATCTGAACATGTCTTTAATGCAGCATTTAATTCAACAGGCTGAAACAAATTCAAGACACTAGAAAGTCATAACTGGAATTAGTTGCGTTTTGTTTTTTTTTTTTTGTTCCAAATACCCTGTAATATTTTTTTAATTTTTTATGTTTTATTGTTAAAGAAAAACTATTTCTAGCTCGGCAAAAGAGCTAAATCGCTACCATCCTCAGGAAAAAAACTGCAGAAACAAAGAGCCTGACACTCACTCCTTGGTACTGCCCTGCGACCAAGCCGTGAGCCCCACAGAGAAGAGCTTGTGTGTGAGGAATGTGGAAGGGCAGGCCGTGGTTGAAAGCGAACATCAGCGTGAGCTCCATCCACATCACATCACGGCATTCCAATGGCATGCTCTGTTTCTAAGCAACAGAAGTTCTGTGGTCAAACAAACGAACATTCGTCACATGGCCCTGCGAGAACCAGCCTTGTCTCTGCTGCAGGGAGTGAGTGGGAGGGTGGGAGCCCACGGGGCCTGCTCGGAGCTATCACATTTACATGCAGGGGTCTGAAAAGAGGTTTTATCTAATTCTGTGTCTCACTGAATGAAGAATGTAGTTCAGCCCTGGATGCACAATTCTTCAACATTAGTTCTCAATGATTGGAAAGGAAGGAAAGGCTTAGTAAGACAGTCACAATGTAATCAAACTCTTGAGCGCTACTACTCTTTTAATATCTCACCTCACCAGTAGAGCTCGAGCCTCTGGGATCTCACCAAAGGAGGCTGCCTGAAAGGATGCGGGCGGGTCACAACCTGTCCCTGCCTTCCTGGTCAGGGCAAGTCTGCCCGCTCCATGCCCCACCCCGCCGAAGCCAGGAAACCCACCCAACACTCTGGAGGCGTCCTCTTCAGTGGAAACCAACTACTGCCCTCGGTTTAGTGACCCCTCCCTCTAGCTAGGGGCAGACTGATTTCTGGTCACCCACATCTCTGTCAATAACAGTTCATTCAGCACCACCTACACGCAGGAAGTGCTGGGGATCCAAAGACAGGTTAAAGACAGTCCCTGCCCTCGGGAAGCTCACAGTCTACCATGCAAACAAGTGTGTACAAACAAGCTACAGAGGGGACACATTGGGGCAGTCAAGAAAGGGAAGGCAGGAGAATGAAGAGGGATTGGGGAAGGCTTCCAGGAGGCTGCATTTGAGCTCTGTCTCCTTGTGTCCCGGCCCAGAGCTCTATTCACTGCATTGCCCGGCTACTTCATGGCTGCAGACTAGAAAGAGTCTGGAGGCAGGGAGGCCAGTCTGGAGTTTACCGAAACGCTGGTTAGTGTGCTGAGTGGGCAGGGAGAAGAGGATGGAGATGGGGGATATTCTGGAGGGAGAACGGACGAATGTTTCTGCTAAAAGCCTGAGATCCAAGCATGCTAGGGAAGCCATGTGAAAATGCCCAGGCGCCGTTCTCCAAATGATGATAAGCGGTCAGAGGACCTGAAGAAGCAGTCTTCAGAAGAAATGCAAATGTTCAAGAATGCTATGAGAAAAGTGCCACAAATCCTGAGGAAGAGAAATCCCTGTGGCAACACCTGACGTTTCACTGCACATCCAGAAAATGGGCAGAAAGGCCAAAAATGTAAACAGTTCATGGGCAAGGGTCTGGAGGAAGAGAGACGCACTAACGAGTATCTGGTGGTGAGGCTCTGAACTGGTCCAGTCGTTCTGGAAAACAATTAGGCAAGAATTGAGCTACCGATAGCCTTTGGCCCCGTGCACCAGACTGAGCCCTCTGCTGTGCCCTGCGAGGCTCATGACTGAGATCGCTTCAGCATCCTAGCTCTCCTCACCCGTGGCCCTCTGCCCCAGCTCAGCACAGAGGAGGTGTTTAAGGAATACTGACTGATTGATTAGCCTCCATTTAAAAAGAGAGCTCAGTTTTCTTTCCTGGCTGCACAAGCCTGGGACTTCTGACTGCTCCTTCCTCAGCCTTGGCCCTCCCTTTGGTTCCTGGGATTGGAGGGGGCCCAGGAACTCAAACCTCCATTGAAGGATAGATCTCAGCTCAGACATTTCCTGCTTCTCTCCTGGTTGCACTACTTCAAGACTTTTCTGACTGGCTTCTCCAGATGGCCGCCCCTCCACGTTCCAGCATGTCCCTTTTCCTCCCCCCACTCCAGCTTCCTTTTGCGTCTTGTTTTTACCTCATTAGACTGTAAGCACCTTGAGGGCAGGGACTGTCATGTGTGTATGTGTGTGTGTGTATGTCTCCAGCTTCAAGCACAGTGGTGGCACAAGGTAGGTGCTTAATAAATGTCTGTTGAAATGAAATCTACCCCAAGGAGGTTAAATACAAAGGGGGGGGGGGAAGGAAAGATTCATAGTAGCACTTTTATGGCAGCAAGAGAGCGAAGCAAAGGGGGTGGCCAGCTATAGGGGTGTGTCCAAACCCAGAAAGGTAACATGAATGCACTCAGCACTCCAGGCCCCAGAGAGAGGCTGAGCCTGATGATGGCCTAGGAGCTTGGGAGGCCTCTCACCTGGTTCACAGAGAAGCAGGAAGGGCAAGGAGAGCCCCACATGTGATGAGCATATGGGCAATAATGGGCAGACCTAAGAATTCACCCCCATGGAAAGAAAAACCGTGGCTCTGGGACATGGGCTCAGCCTTTTTCCTCTTCCTAGCAAGGGAAGCTTCTACTGGGGGAAAATATCAGAAAACGACAAAGATGCAGGAAAAAATAGAAAAGCTATTCAAGAAGCCAAGAAAAGTGGGTGCAGCAAGAATGCTTCAGGCGGCCTTGTCTGGCAGGGGGCTGGTCGAGGCCCGAATCCCCCCTCGGCTCTCTAGCTGGTTTTGGAGACCTGGGCTGGTGCAGAATGCAGCGTCCGTCTCGCCAGGCGAGCATCTGTTTGCCTGATAAACATTGCAGAGCCGCAGAGACCACCAGTGATACTGAAATCTACTGCAGGGTCTCGTGGCCAATGTTGTGCCACGGACCTCTGGAGCAGTCAGCCTGGTAGAGCCCAGGGACAGAGACCCTTTCTCGCAGTCAGAGTTTTAAATAATTGAAGGAAATACTAAGTTTCCTATAAAGGTTGGTGAAAATAGTCATTTTTTTCTACCTATTTTCATGGCCCCTCAAAACCTGCCTAGCAAGGGATCCATGGCCCCCAGGTTAAGAACCTCTGTTCTAAAGCTAAGAAATTAATTCACTTTTAAATCATTGATCAAATTAAACATGGATTGCCACCTAACTCTACCCACGAACTTATTCACAGACCCATTTCCAAACATTATTGCCCCAGTAATTCCAAAGTCATTGCACTTTCAGGGTATAACCCTGTAGGGTTGAGGTCATTATCTGAATAATTTCACTCCAAAAACCTGTTCTACAACTGAATAAACGGGATAATTGCCTCGACCTATGAATTTCCTCACTCTGGGGAAGCCGGACCAAAAGCCTTTACCTTGGCCACGGCTGGTGTGCGTCTTGGAGCTTTGTCATGGTAACAACAATACCAGTGACGTTTTTATGGCACTTTGTGTGCAGGGTGTCATTGAACTTTAGAGTGAACTTGAGGGGAGGGGTCTATACCCATTTTACAGATGAGAAGAAGACTTGCCCAGGGTCGCACCACCAGTGTATGGGGCGGAGGTGGGACTGGAAGTCAGGTCTTCCAAGTTTCCGTCGGCTCTCCTGCCTTCTCCCCGTGCTTTCACAGGGTGCCCTGACCTCCTGGTTGTGCCAGAAGAGGAGGCCCAGGTCTGCTTTAGTACCACGTCCCTGTTGCTTCTCTCCTTTCAAAGGTCCCAGCCAGGCTCGGCCAGCTCCACTCCCGCTGTCACTCACTGTCCTCCACTTCTCCACGCTGGCAGCCTCTGAGGTACATTCTGTAAGAACCTGGGAGCTGAGGCAAGCCGCTCTGAACAGGCCCTCCCTTAGGAGAGGACCAGAGTGAATTCCTTGAGAGGGAGAGAGGGAGGAGGGAAGAGTCTTCCATAGAAGACGCTGATGCTCCACCCTTTCTAACGAGAATTCCGTAACTCCACATCTGTCGCTTCTACTGGCTCGGTCCTGCTTGGGGTCCAGGTCAGGCCAGAGGCAGAGGGTGAGAGCCATCGTTCTTCAGCAAGAAGAGGCCCGGGCGCTGGGGACCAGACGTGAGCAGGGAGCACCAGCAAAAGCAATACAGTGAATTCTTGTACGGGAGACAAAGACCGCTGTCAAGCTGGGTGGCCACGCCACAAGTACAGTTCGGCAACATGGAGGCGTCAGACGCCAAGATGGTGCAGGGTCGAGACAGATCTACACAGACAAGCCCCCAAACAAGGGGCAAACAAGAGGGCAGTCAATGCTGCATCCATGTGGAAAGTCTTTGGAGGTCCAGCTTTGGGGACTAACCCTGCCCATCTGGGCTTTTGAACAAATGACCTTCAGCTGTAGACAGCTCCCCACCCATCAGTGCCTGCATAGCAAACAGACGGACGTGCCCAGGAACAGACACTGTCATCTGTGCTGATCCTCTGGACTTCCTGCCGTCCGCTTCTAGCCGAGGGACAAGGTTTGGACGGAGGCATTTCTAAGAGCCTGATGCCCGGCCCCTGTTGGGAAAGTATAATCTGTACCTGAATGGGTTTTTGTACCAACCAATCATTTTATGTCATGAAATGGTAGTTCACACTGGATTCCCTTTCGAATCTAACAAGATGTGATATAGTCCTTAGCCCGGCGGGGCTGGGTTTTTTTTGCCAGGGGAATGTGCCAGTGTTTGTTCATTTAAGCCATCTGGGGCCATTGCGCAGCACACTTCTAAGAGCCCAAAGAACTAGAGAAGACCAAAAGAAGAGGTAGGCAGGGTCCTGGGGCCAGGGGAGCCCCCAGCCGACTGTCCTTCTTTCTTAGGACATAGGAAGCTTGGGAGAGAAGAGAGGATCCAGGCCATGGCATCCAAGGGACTGGCTCCTGACCCTCCTTGTGCCACACACTGGCTCTGGCCCTCCCTGGCCTCTGCTTCCTCAAGCTGTAAAAGAAGGGGGTCGGGCGGCTCCTCTAATGTCTGATGACTCGTTCCTTTCTGTCTGCTCAGGGCCATGCTGACTGGTGGCTGCTCAGGCTGGACACAGTTGGCTTCATCCAAAGCCAATCAGTGCCTCCAGGCTCAGTGGAAGCTTTTTACCTGGTCAGGCCCATCTGAGAAGATGCTCTCTATTGGCAGAAAGACCACAAATAGGCCCCCAAGGAAGCCTACCCAAAGTTTCATATGTTCCTTCTGAATCTAAGAGTAGTTCAGAGGCTTGTGTGGTACTCACAACCTCAAATAAATGGGAGATGGCAGGTTTTCTCCCCCAGGAAGGACAGGGATGGAGAAGGGGCAGTGCTGGGTTTGGGGCATAATGCTAAAGTTTGAAAACAGTGCCACCACCACCCAAAGGGCAGGGTCAGAGGGGCTTCTGCTCAGACACCTGAGATGCTTGGACCCCCCCATCCCTAGAATCATAAAGATGGAAGAGATTTCCAAGATCAACAGCCAACCCCCCAGGCTCTCCCCAGGAAAAGTGACTGGCTCATGAACTTGAGCAGACATTTGGTTAAAAAAATGCTTGCTGCCTGATGATGACTTTTATTCCACTGGGGGGGGGGGGCGGGGAATGCTTAAAAGTCACACCTTGTCACGGAGGTTTTCCTGCACCAGGAACTTACTTCTTGAATGGATCTCACTATCCGTTCAATGGCGAGAGGCCATGCATTATTACATCGCACAGTTTTTTTTTTCTTCCAGATTCTTCCAGTAGACGTCTAGAGTTTAACGAGAAGTTTTGGCTCTGATACAAACAGTGATGGAAAACATATGAGCACTAACAAGCCTTAATCTCGCTCCTCAGTACTAAAATGGGATAATCTGGAGGAGCCGTTTACTCCAGCATCACCCAGGGTGCCAGCTGCACCGGGAGCGCGTGGGGCAGGCTCTCCACAACCCCTTCTCATCTTCTCTCCTCCAGAGAACCGGACAACACTGACATTCTCTTGACCTTCACCCCGGTGTGGACTGAATAACGACGCTGTCAAGGACTGTTGTAGCCTGACGAGGTAGGTTTTCTTGGTGATTGCCTTCCTTGGTCTGTCTTCTGTGGCAGATAGCAGCAGAATGTTCAAAATAGTTTATTTTTCATAATAATAAGTAGAGGTTGACATAAGAAAAATGACATTTGCTTGGGAACATGATCCCAAGATAAGAAACTAATTTTGTCCCTCATGGTGATTAAGACAAAAAACCACCCCAAAATGTTGGTGCTTTAAAAAATCCACAAACCCCCCAAATGGAAAAGGTTTTCTGTGCGTGTCTATGATTTACAGAAAAGTACACTATTTCATCTCTTCATATCCACATAGATGTAGGATTATTTACTTCTAAATAGGTTAACTATGAACTCAACATTACTGAATTTTGGTATTTTGCCATAAAAGTGACCATAGCTGATTTCTAAAATTAATAGAAATACCATGAGAATATGTTTGTTTTCTAAGCCCCGATAACAGATGGCTTTGACCCTTATGTCGTGTATGCTGATTACTAAAAGAAGAAGGTTAGGAATTTCCTTGTAGCATCAAGTCTGTCTTTTTCCTCTAAAAGGGAAACAGAAATATTGGGACTGATTTTGACAATTTCTGAACAGCTGACCTCCAGCCTCTGGTAGAAGCTAAGTTTTTCTTCATGTAATCAATGGGCAAAAGGAATTATAAAAGCTCAGCCCCACTTTGCTCACAGAGAGTACCACTTAGTAGCTGTTCAGCCCCAAGCACACAAAGCTGTGATCGCTCCTGTAAAATCAACATGGGTCTTCACAAGTTGTCATGATAAACACAATGATGTCCCTCGCCTGTAGCAAGGAAAAAGATACAAAAAGCCACAGCCATGATTCAGTGCTGGAACGGAGCACCCAGTGCCCCAAGCGGAGTGCGGCATCCCGCCTGGGAACCCACAGAACAGGGGCTGCGGTCTGCAGGCTTGGCTCGGGGCCACCCACATTGGAATGTTGGCAGCCGCGTGGCGTTTTGTTCTCTTTCAAGGGCTACTGACTCAGGGGGAAAAAACCAACCACAGGCACCAGAAAAAAAGCACCTCATACACAGGCTTCTGTGTTGTTTGTTTACTCAGAAAGGGAGCTGTTCCATTCACCTGCTTTTAAAACAAGGACCAGGGGTATTTTATTTGAGAGATGTGGAAAATAATGAAAACTGGAGGAAGACAGAATCAAGAGGCGAAGGGAAATGTGGCCTGGGAAATGACCTCTCCAAGAGTTCAGAACAATCCTTTCTCTGCTGGGAAATCACTGTTCTGCCTGTACTCTCAAACTTGAAAGTTTATTTTTGAAAAAGACTTTTACTTGTAGAATTCTAAAATTTTACACATATGTAAGGTCAGTTTTTAGAAATTTAGAAATTTGTCTGCCAGATTCTGAATGTCAAATGAGCCTTTAAGACAACAGTAAATTGAAAAATTGCCTTATTTTTGTGTAATGGACAGGGAGCTGACCTCAGAACTGGCTGTGTGACCCTGGGAAAGTTAATTAACTTCTCTGTGTTCAAGGCAATTTTCTATTTGCAATCTCTAATTGCAGAGGAGCCAACCTACACTAGTAGAGGGAATCTCCTCACCTGGTAGTTCTCCAAACAATGCAGTGCTCAGGCCAGTTTCTGTCAGTCTCACTGAACATTGCATTGATCTGATTCTTCTCCTTTTCAAAATAAATGCAAATTCTGAGTTAGCCCTGGTGTGGTGAGGGGAGGAGTGGCTGCTTTAAACGGGATTGCTACAGGATCTCCTGCCCCAAGGATGGAGGGGTCAGCTGGACCAGAGGGTTCTCAGCTTGGTTCTAGAGGCTGCATAGTACAAGAAACTAAAAGGATTCAAAAGGGCTATTTGCTATTCATGTGGCAGTGAACCACTATATAATATGAATAATAATAATGGCCAACATGGACAGGGTGCTTTGAGATGTGCAAAGCTCTGTACACATCGTGTCTCACCGGGTCCTCAGAACAACCCACTACAGGGTGGGGGCTATTATCACACCTAGTTTTTCTTTAATTTTTTTTTGGTTGGGCAATGGGGGTTAAGTGACTTGCCCAGGGTCACACAGCTAGTAAGTGTTGTGTCTGAGGCCAGCTTTGAACTCAGGTCCTCCTGAATCCAGGGCCAGAGCTCTATCCACTGTACCACCTGGCTGCCCCTATCACACCTATTTTTCAGAAGAGGGAACTGAGGCCCAGAGGTATCAAGTGATCTGCTTAGAGCCACAGATATGCAGGATTCAAATTCTGGTCTTCCTGACGCTGGGTCCTGCTTGGTGGTGATGTGGGATTATGGTAAAGAACAGAGACGTCAGCAGGACGACTCCTGGGACGGGGAAGACGATGTTTTCCAGACCGGGTTTCTGCAGATCCAGGCACAGACAGCAACAGCGAGTGAACATAAGAAAGGGGCTTGGGGCGTGGGGGTGGGGCCTCTGGGAGCTCCTGGGGAAGGCCCATGGGGCGGGCGCAAGCAAACAATCACGACTTTCCAGTGCGATGAGTGAGCTCCTTTGCAATCTCCTAGCCAGGAAAAGCTCCACTGATGTCAGGCACACCTAGAGGAGGTCCCTTCCACAAGGATCTTTGAACTTGGACCAGATTGCAGGAGGGACCCTTGGGCCAGTGTCTAGAAGGGGGGAGCCACAGGGCACAGAGGCTGGCCCTGGAGTTGGGAAGACCCGAGTTCAAATCCTGCTTCAAACATTTCCCAGCTGTGTGACCCTCAGCAAGTCACTTAACCTCTGCCTGCCTCAGTTTCCTCATCTGTAAAGTAGGGATAATAACTTCCCAGGGTTGTTGTGAAGATCAGATGACATAATATTTGTAAAGCACTCTGCAGACTTTAAAGGACTCTATAAACACTGGCTGTCATCCTCACTCTTAAAGTCAGAGGAGGAGGATCTGAGCTGCTTTTGGAAATAGGAGGGAAGCAAGGTGAGACAGACAGAGCCTCCACGGTGCTGCTCTGATTTGAACCCAAGTCTTTTGACTCTAAATATCTCACCCAAGTAAACTCAACCCCCCAAAGGTCAAACAAGGGCTGTCTATCCAATTCTTTAAGCCCCATTGACCTTCCCGGCACAGAGCTCCCATGTCCCACGTGGGGAGAGAAGGGAGCAAGCATTTAAGAATCACCTGCTGTGAGCTGGGCACTGCGCTAATGGGCCCGCTGTTGGAGAGGCCTTCAAGCTGCCCATGGACCTGGGGCCCAGTGGGGGAAAGCCCAGGAGGCTCACAAGAACCTCAGACCCCCAGCAAAACTACCTGGATGAGCTACATACATCCTGGTGTGATTTAACAGCTCCCACCCTCATCCAAATGAGGTGGACCCCTGTCAATCATGGCCTGCCTGGGACACACCCCCTTCTCATCTCACGGTGGGAATCCTCTTTCTTCAAGGCTGAGGGAGGGCAGGCGCTCCCACTGCATTCAAGAAATCTGCGCTGACCCTGCCCTGCCTTTCCCTACCAGACTCCCTTCACTAATTACCTTGTACTCACTTCTCTGTGAATGTGTTGCACGCCCCCCATACACTCGTGCCCCAACAGTCACTCATACCTATTCTCCCACCCAACATCCTCCTCACCCCTACCCCCTACCCTCCATACATACATACCCTACCCCTACACATATCCACCCTCACTCATACCCATTCCCCCACCCAACACCCACACACACCCCCACTCCCCCACCCCTACACATACCCACACTCACTCACACTGATTCCCCACCCAACACCCATACACACCTCCTACCCACTACCCCTTACCTTCTCGCCCCGTACATACACCCCCAACCCTACCCCCCAACATACCCACACTCACTCACCCCTCCCACTTATCCACCCCCTTCCCCCCCAACAGAAGCTCCCAGATGGCCAGGATTGGTTATTTTTTCCTTTCCCCTTTCTGGTCTCCCACCATTAAAAGGTGCTTTGCACACAGACGAGCCATGGCACACCTGAAACTGTGCTCAAAAATTACTTAGAAAAAGACGAAGAAATCCCAGTTAATCAAATCACACAGGAAGCAATGATGCAGCAGGATCACAGAATCTGGGTCAAAAGAGAGCTTAGGGGTCATGGGAGCCGGGCTCATCCATTCAATGGAGAAGGCCAGTGAAGCCCAGAGAGGCGGAGTTAACAACCAAGTGAGACCAGGGGGAGCCGGGAGTCACCTACCCTGGTCAGGGGAAAGGAAGGAACGAAGAGGCATTCGCTCTGCACCTCCTGCATGCCAAACACCGGCCTGAGCACTGGGGGTGGGTACATACCCAGAAGTGACCCGAGCCCCTGCCCTCCACAAGCTTCTATGGGGAGCGGGGAGACAACATTCCTGGGCCCCAGCAGCAGGGGTGCTGCCGAGGGGGGCTGTGAAGGCTAGGCCTAGTGTCGCAGGGACGCTCAGTCTGGGGGCAGTGTTGCTCGCTTCCTGTCCTGGTTAAGAGTCCAGCTTGGGCAGGAAGCCTTTCCCAGGCCTCATGCATCTCAGGGCTGCCTCTCTGAGCAGACCCCCAGTTATCCTGTCTCTAGCTCATCTGCCCATAGGTGTTTGCATGGTGTTCCCCGTTAGACTGGGGGCTCCTCGAGGGCAGGGACTCTCTGACCTGTCGTAGCACAGCGCCTGGCACACAGTAGGTGCTTAATCAATACTAGCTGACTGTCTGCCCAGGGCAGGAGAGTGAGAGAGGGGCCGAGGGAAGCCCAGTCTGGGGAGGTCCAGTGTGTGGCGGGGCGAGGGTGAAGGATGGCTGGATAGGAACGTAGACTAAGCTACTGGCTCTTCTGGGCCTCGGTTCCCCGACGTGGACCAAATAAAGAAGTCTTTAGGTCTTCTTGCTCTAAACTTTTCCCACCCAGTTACTCTCATCTGGACTTCACCATCACTGCCCCTCTTCTATAGGCAGGATTTACTATGTGTGGCACGAGGTCCCACTAGGAGGCCTCCCCGATGTGGAGGTGACCCTGGGCTCTCAAAGGCAATGCCAGAGGTGTACAGGCTCTCAGAGGTTCTACCAGGCTGGCCAGGGTGGCCCCAGGAGCCGAGGGCTGCTGAATGGCTGGCTGGGAACCAAGGGGTGGAGACCCTCCCTATCCACTCACCAGATCCTCTGACACTTGGGGACTTTAGTGCCAATGTGGGAAAAGGTGGGGGTGGGGAGAGAGCTATGAGGACAAAGGGTTCAGACGGAAGGAATCAGGGCGGCCAAAGACATGTGAATGGTGCAGAAGCGGTCACTTCCTTTAAAAAATAAATGAGCTGGCACCGGCCACTGAAAATACCAAGTAACAACACAAAAATGATATTTTTAACAGAGGAAAATACTCATCCTGGATGTGGGAGGATCTTGAGCTGGTCATTTGGTTTACTGTCAAATCATTGACTCATCACAGTTAAGAATGAAATTTTTAATAACCCAGAAGAAAGAACAGTAATGATAAAACTATATGCCACAGAATTAAAAAGACAACTTTAAATGAGTTAAACAAGTTATAGGAAATTTAAAAGTGGGAAATGGACAACAGAAATGATGTTGACACTGATCGTAACCACTTCATCCAGAAGCTGAACCCGCGTAAATCAGTGTCTCTAACATGGTGACCACAAGAGCCCAGACAGCATCTCACTCATCAAACATCTGGATGACTCGCCAGGTGGAGAGAGATGGCGGCCAAAGCTGCATGGCGCTGGGGCATGAGCTTCTCTGGAAAGTCCTACAGAGAAGGATGATGGGAGACCATGAGCAGGACAGTGTCATACGCATCGAGGAAGGACAAAGCCATCAAAAGGAAGGCCCTCCACCCAAGCAAAGTCATCCCTCGGTCACTCTGGGGAGAAAACAGAAAAGACTGGCAAACCCCATTGCATGAAGCTTGTTTTCTCCATTCATGATTTGGACACCAGTCTCCCGGTCCCTGAGGTGCTCAGGAAGTAAGCAGAAACGGTTCCAAGGAGGACAAAAATGGGAAAAAGTGGAGAGGCTGGATGCAGGCTAGGCAGAGGAGATCCAGGCTGGAGGTGAGCCGACCATGAAGCTACCAAGGCACCTGCAGGAAGGAAGGACCCCAAAGACTTAGCAATGACCTACTTACTGAAATACCTCCTCTCCCGTCAACACAAACTCCTACCCAGAGTCCTGGATGAGAAAAGTAGGAAGGAACAGGCAGGCTGGACCACTGAAAGATGTAGAAAACACAAGATCCCATTAGGGGAAGGGAACAAGCATTTATTAAGCACCTACTATATGCCAGGCACTTAGCTAAGTGCTCACTGTGGCTACTGTTTGTTGATGGTGAAAGCAGCATTTGATTGGGTAGAACAAAGCACCACCTTATTGGCTCTTTTCAGCAAGCAAGGCGGCTCTGATCTAAGGTCACTCGGGCTTCCTCAAAGGATGTGACGGCAGTCATTCAATGCTCCACTCAGGGACACCCACAAGCACTAGGGGAGGCAGAACACAGGATGATGTGTGCTTGCCAAGAGCTTTCACCACCATGACGGTGGAGATGAAGGGCAAGATCCTCCCTGTGTGGGGGAGGTCCTCCAGGGCTCTTGTCTGTAGACTGCTGAGTGTGCTGATTACATCTCAGGTCATCACGCTGACTGAGGAGGGTGGCCTGACCATCCACACACGAATGACCAAGTGGATGAACAGTGTTTATTGCCCAGATGTCAACATGCAACAGTGAGTACATCTGGGACAGACAGGGCAGATGCACAATGAGCTGGGCTCAGAAAAGAAATGGAGGAGGACGGGGATGGCTCGCGACAAGGGAAGCGCGAGGCACTTTGACTGACCCCAAGCTTCTGCCCACCTTCACCACTGCTGCAATACCACTGCCCCAAAGAAATGAAGATGAACATAACGTCTGGCAGATGCAGGCTTCTGATCCCTTTAGGGATCTAGTCAGCATGGAAGGTGACCTGCTCTGGCAGAGGAAGTGTCCTCACCTGGGACTTCCCGATATCAATGAGATCACAGGTCCAGTTCCTATCCCTATCCTCTACTACACATAAACCTTGCTCTGACCCTCCCTCTGCAGTTCCAGAGCCTCCCCTTCCTTCTGCTGATTGCCTCTCCCTTATCCCACCTACATTTGGGTTACAGTTCCTTGCACCCTTCTTCTCTACCCTCTGAAGCCGCCACTTTAGTTTCTTGTACCCAACTCTCCAAGTCGTCATTAACTTCCTTTGCTGTTCCAGTTCCTGTCTCAGGCCACCTCCCCAGGCCTCCGGGGAAGGGATGCTGGGAGCAGGGGGATATGGCTGGGGCTTCCTGGGCTATCACACATTGGGCTCTGTAGGGTTCTTGGCACTCTCCTGGGGGGATGTGATGCAGTCAGTGAAGATCTGGGGGCTGTCGAGGAGTACAGCCGTGAGTCAGAACATTGCTGGATTAGAACGACACGAGGATCCAGACAAGTGACTGATACAGGAACTCCAGCAACCTTCTGGTGCCGAGGGGCAGCCGGCGGGCCAGAAGCCGTGCCACGAATGAACCGGTCACTGGCAGCTTCTCCATCTTCCACACTGGTCGGCCGCTCCAGTGAGGGGCTCGGGAGCCCCCTGGTAGGCCCATCTCTCCCTCCCCAAGTACACCAGAGAACTTAACCACCATGGATACTTCCGACGGGTTAAGATTTAACTTGACAACACTATTTATTTGTGAAAAGGTGCCCCGAGTTTCAAGCAACCTCCTTGTACATAGATACCAATAACACAATAGGTAAGTTAGAAAGAGCCTACTCTGCACAAGGCACAGCCTAACCTGGCTTATTTATTGCTGTGCGGAGAGACTGTCTGTGTGAGGACCTCTGGCCATACTCACTTCCCATCGGTGGTTTTTACTCATGCTCAGTGTCAGAGGCAGAAGTCAGGATCCAGGGGGTCAGGAGTGGGGAAAGGTGGCGCTGCTATGTGTGGGTGACAGTACAGAGAAATGGGGGATGGGCTGTAAGCTGGAGGGTTTCGAGGTGAGCCAGACCGAGGACCACATAAGGAAGGAAGGAAGGGAACCAGGGGCGGCAGTCTAGGCGGAGGCGAGGGTAAAGGCCGGGTGGGCAGCGCGGTAACGCTCTGGACATCTAGGCTCCAACCCCGACTGCCCCTTTCCATCTCGTTCCAGGTCAGGCACCTGCTCTGAGGAGACATGAAGGAATATGTGCTTCTCCTGCTGCTGGCCTTGGGCTCTGCCAAGCCCCCCTCCAGCCCTTCTTATCTGACCCTAAAGAATATGATGCTCAAAGACATGGTGGACGCGGAGGACGATGACGACGACGACGACGACGATGACGAGAATTCTCTCTTTCCCACACGGCAGCCCCTGATGCCCTTCTTTCCTTTTGACCTGTTTCCATCATGCCCCTTTGGATGCCAGTGCTACTCGAGGGTGGTCCACTGCTCTGACCTAGGTAAGATCTCCACCCGGCACGCCCTTTCACCCCCCCACGAGGAGGCCGCGCCTGAATGTCCCACGCAATGCTCCCCCCCCCCTCAGATGGCCGTCTTTGCCCTTGGCGTTTCCATGGCGGGGCACGTATGCTGTAGAACGTAAGTGGGGAGGGCAAAGGCTGGATGGCTCTGTACACCTGGTGTCTCATAGGGAGTGGATATTGAATGAATGTTTGTGGCATTGAAAAACATTCTAAAGTTTAAATGTTCAACTGGGAGCAAAGGTATACAGACTTCAGAATCCTCCAAAGAATATTCCAATTGTTTTGCCGTGGTTGAATTTCTCTTAAGAAACCTACTATGTGCTAGCAGTATGCTGTGGGTGGGGACAGGAAAATGAATGGAGGCCTCGAGGCCATCCTAAAAAATCTTCCAAGGCTAAAAAAGAGGGGAGAACGTGTACATTACTAGTTAGTCCATCAACAAGCGTGTCTGCTGACTCTGGAAGGAGATACCTCAAACTGGCAGGGCCTCATCTGAGATTTCAATGGTTTAAGGACGGAGTAGGGGAGAGGAGCGGGAGGCCACAGCCGTGAGTTACCCTTTCTAGAGGTTTTGCTGTGAAGGGGAGGCATGAGATAGGGACGGTGGCTCGAATATGGATGTTTGCAGGAGGAGGGAGGCCCCACTAGAAGGACAATGTCCCACAGGAGCCTGAGAGTGCTTGGGGGAGGGTCCAGAGATCAAGGCACCTCCAGACCCACTGGATCCTGGCCAGCAGCACAGGCGGCCACCCCCACGCACTGTGACGTGGTGAGCCCCACCCAGTTATAAACAGATGCCATTCGAGGCCCAGAAGGCCTTCCGCCATCATTCCCCAATCCCCCATCCCCAAGTCCTTCAGTACCAAGTTCAAATCTCACTTCTTCCATGAGCTTTCCCCAGTCTCAGCCTCCCACTCCCGTGGCCTCTTCCTAATCCCTGCTTACCCAGGGCAGTTTTATGAGTTTTCAGGTATTTCTCTCAGTCTGATCTCACAGCCCAGGCTTGCTTCACCATAGACTGTCAAAGAAAGGGTGTCTTTGGGTTTTCCAATGAGCTTGGGACGAAGGAGGGCTGCTGATGGTGAGAAGGGCATTTCTCTGCCCACGCCCCTCGAGGCCACCTTTCCCTGGGGTCTGCCCAGCTCCGTCCTCCCCACCAGACTCTCTGGGGCCTGAGAGGCCTCCCCTGCTCCAGATGGTCACACTGTCCTTTGCATCCTCCCTGATTGTGAAGCTGGGGACTGCTGTCTTAGCTTCTGTGGTCTTCACTTCTGGAAGCCCATAAATGCCCGGCTTGGTTTCCCTCCTCCCACCATCCCAGGTCCCTTGCTTTAGCTCTCTACCAGACCAGGACCTCTATCATGAGATGTGTGATTTATTTTGCAAATAAGGGCTCTGGCTTCCTGATGCCTTTTAAAAAGACACTGGATACCTGAGAGCTTAATGAAAATGCTGACGGGCCTTTCTCTGGCTCCATCAGAGCTGCTCTTCCACAGCTGCTCCTTGCAGTGGAGGAAGTCCATCTAGCTGGCAGAGTCTGGGTGTCTTCATGGCACGGATGGACACGGCGGAACAATGCCGAGCGTCCGCCTCCACAGGGTCCGGTCTAGAAAGCCAGTGAGTGAGCGAGCCTTCTATCAGCTGTCAGTACAAGTGGAATTTTTCTAGGTATAAACCACCTTCAGAGGCTCACGGACATTAGTGTCAAAACAGAGCCCAAAGCCTGCGGTGAGTCCTGGCTCTGTCAGAAGCCGCTAAGCAGCTGTGCCCCACTAAGCCAGACATTTCAAGGCTCACCAGGACCTCCAAGATCATGGCGTTGAAAGCCCTCACTTCTAGAGGAGGGCCCTGAGACTAGACAGAGGAAAGGCCTGGACGAAGGTGAAACGACCAGGGAGAGCTGCTGTTCCCTCCAGGGTAGGGGGCGAGGTGACCACTGCGGTCCCTCCTAAGTCCCATGGTTCTAGGGTTTCTGAACAGGGGACAGCCAGGGTCAGGCCTGTACTTGCCAAAGATCCCACCACCAGATTGGGAGGCATGGATGGAAGAGGAGAGGGAGAGACGAGCACTGACAGACCAGGTAGAAGGCGATTAGAAGTGGGGACATCTAGGCACAAAGGGCCGGGTGAGAGGAGCAGCCTGGCACGAGAGAAAGGGGGTGGATTCAATGGATATGGCAGAAGAGAGCCTGGAGAATGCAGGCCAGTGACAGCATCCACTAACACTCATTCTTTTTTTTTTTTTTAAAGGCAATTGGGGTTAAGTGACTTGCCCAGGGTCACACAGCTAGCGTCAAGTGCACTAATACTCATTCTGACAGAGCTCTCTGAGGTTTGCAGATTGCTTAGATAACAGTACAAAGAGCTAAGTGTTCGCTTTCAGGTTTGCAGAGCACTTTACAAATACTAATGACTTGTCCAGGGGCACACAACTGTTGATTGCTTGAGGCAGAATTTGAATTCAGGTCTCCTGCTCTATGTACTATGCCAGGAATCCTCCCGCTTGCTTTCTTCACAACAGTCCTATGAAGTAGGTGGCATCAGCATTATTGTACCCATCTTGCAGATGAGAAGCTCACATAGGTTACACATGTCAGAGAAGGGATGTAAACAAGCTCTCCCTGACTCTGTCTACCCCAGCACTCTCCTATCTAGGATGACCCCAAGGTGACCAGGAGGATGCTGGCACTTCTGACAGAAATCGGGATGTCTGGACGAGTAGAGGGTTTAGCAGGGAGGTAGGCAGCTAAGGGGCCCCCGGGGGTACAGGAGAGAAGTCAGGTCAGAACCCACAGACTTGGGCTTCATCTGCCTCAAGACGGTGGCCGAGGCTGAGATAATGGAGTGGAGAGCCCCTTCCTAGGGCTGGACCTGCCCAGCCTCAACTTTGTCCTTAAGGCTCGGCACCGTCCCTGGCACACAGTAGGGACTCCAGAAATGCTTCAGCCCCACCCCACCGATTTTGCCAGGCTCATCCCTCCTTTTGGTCCCCCAAACATGCCGTGGCCACTGGTCCCCCTCCTTTTTCTCAGGGACTTTGTGTCTGAATTCCTTCTGCCGCCTCCTGCCCAGGCCGAGCTCCTGGGCCACCTCCATCCCGAATCTTTCCCTTCACTCCAACCCACACTAACCTTTCCCTTCTCTGTATCTGCCCTGGCCCAGCTCCAGGGATAACTAGACAGGCTCCTGGCACCCAGCCAAGGAGCAATTAATTTTATCAAATATTTACGAAGCAGCTGCTAAGGGCAAAGTTCTGGGCTAGGTGTGGGGAGCGCTGACACAGCCAAGGAAAAGGACCCTGCCCACTTGAGCAGCTGCAAGCTCCATGGCCTTCCTAACTCCCTCCGAGCCTTCACATGAGAGGAGGCCGGTCTGCCCGGCCTCTCCATGTGGCATCCCTATCTGCGGTTCCTCCCCACTGAAGCAGGAGGGATAGGCTGGGGGGAAACACAGCAGGGAGGCAGCAAAGTATGGAAGGGGGGGGGGGGCAAAGGCCACGCCCACCAGCAATGGGGTAGCAATAATACGGCCTGGGTCCCACCGCAGGAGGGCTGAAAGAGGTTTCATTAGGATGTGGAGGTTTTATGCTTTTTTTTTAAAGAGTGACTCCCTAGGGGGACTACTAACAATCTGTCTTTTCTAGTTCATGTACAAATGCTAAGTGTGGGCTGGCTTTGTTTTTAAATGTGTGGATGTGTTTAGAGAAAAGTACCTCGTTTTTACAGAAGTTATGGGAATCCCAAGTGGGTAGAAGGAGAAAGGATGAAATTGAGCATAAAGAAGTGTGTGAGTGTGAATGTGACAGTGTGCGTGAGCGTGTGTATATGAGTGTGTGAGGGTGTATGAGTATATTGGATAAGCATGTGACACTGAGTGTGAGCATGGGTATGTGAGCACAAGTGTGACAGCGTGTGTCTACGACTGTGACAGTGTGTGAGTGCGCGTGTGTGTCTGTTAAGATGACGTACTACTTCCCCAGTGGACTGTGACAGACAAGCCTCAGTCGCCCACATTCGCAGCCAGGCCCCCAGACAACCTCGACGGGTGAACTGGCTTGGTTTACACAGAGGAAGCCTGGGCAGGAGTGGGTCTCTGTGGGTCCCCACCCAGCTGCAGCGTGGCCCCAGTGACTGCACTGACTCCACCTGCTAAGACAGGCCCATAAAGCACCAGTAGCAGAGCCCTGGCTAGCAAGGAGCTCAGCGGAACCCCAACACACCCGTGGTTGTGATCGCAGGCACGTTGTGTATCCGTGGCCAGTAGTGATGCCTGTCCAAGACCTGGGATTTAATCCCTGCAAGGGCTCCTCCCACCCCCAGCAAATTCCAGTCTGGCTTCAGGCAGCAGGGATGGTCCTTGGACCCAGGCACAGTGGGCTCTGGGCGCACACACCCAGGCTCCTGTGGGACTTTTGAGGCTCCCTCTGTGCTGGGAAGAGGAGCAAGGATGGAACGTTGGGGACTGAGAACCATGACACTGCCCAGGGGCCGGGGGATTCCTTCTTTCTCTCTGGGTGGTTTTCTACCATGTGACTCGTTTCTCTCTCTGTCTTTTGCTCAGGTTTGACAGCGATCCCAAACAACATCCCATTCGATACAAGACTGATAGACCTTCAAAACAATAAAATCAAGGAGATCAAAGAGAATGACTTTAAAGGACTCACTTCCCTCTATGTAAGACTTTCCCTCCATATTTCTAAGATGTTTAATTGCATATGCACATGTATATAATGGGATGTTTGAGTTCAGCCATCTATCCATCCATCCATTCATCCACCCATCCACTCATCCATCAACCCATCCACTTATCCATCTATCCATCCATCCATTCATCCATCCATCTACCCATCCACTCATCCACCCATCCACTTATCCATCCATCCAACCACCCACCCATTCATTCATCCATCCATCCACTTATCCATCCACTCATCCATCCACCCACCCATCCATCCAACCATCCACTCATCCATCCATCCATCTACCTATCCACCCACTCATCCATCCATTCATCCATCCATCTATTCATCCATCCATCCATCCACCTACCCACCCATCCATCTATCCATCCACTCATCCATCCACCCATCCATCCAACCATCCACCCACTCATCCATCCATTCATCCATCCATCTATTCATCCACCCATTCATCCATCCATCTATTCATCCACCCACCCATCCATCCAACCATCTACTCATCCACCCATCCATCTACCTATCCACCCACTCATCCACCCATCTACCCATCCACCCACCCACCCATCCATCTATCCATCCACTCATCCACCCACCCAGCCATCCTTCCACCCACCATCTACATGTACACATATCTGTGCTAGACTCTCCCCTTCTTACAGTTTTAAGTAAAGCACTCTTCATCAGTGGTTCCTTTAGGTGATTGATATCCATGAATAACACAGTGACTCCACACCAGAGGAGGTCAGCTGAAAGCCCTAATTCAGTCTCAACAAGATCAAAAAGGAACGCCCCTCCCCCATAATTACCCAGACAAATGGCCACAGGGCGTATTCAGAGAAGGGAGACCCCCTCCCCGACCCCTCCAGGCAGCTCAGGCCACATCTGGAAAGTTCTCCCGGTCAAGAAGTGTTCCCTCATCTGCATATTTGTACCCCCCCCAATTCTGCTGTCTGGGGCCAGACAGAACCCTTAGATCCCTCTTCCACTGGGCTGCCCTTCCAGTTCAGTCATTCAATAGCTCCAAATCTACCTAACTACATTAACATCTAATTTGCATCGTTCCATCTTTTCCACAAGAAGGCCAGAGATCCTTCTTGAACTGAAGGGCGCATAAAGGAGCACGCTCAGTGCTCAGTTCACAGTTGCCTGGGACTCGGTAATTCTTTTGGTCTCTCACTGGGCCTACTGAGGCCTTCTCTGTAAAGGAAGGGGCTTGTGTCCTGGACCCCCGTGGCTGTTGGGTGAAGCCTACGCCTCCCAGCTCAGAATAATTTTTGTTGCCTGCATTTGGAAGGGCACCAAGGAGGCACAGTGGAGACGGTGCTAGGCCTGGAGCTAGGAAGACCTTAGCTCAAATCTGCTCTCAGATACTAACTAGCTGTGTGACCCTGGGCAAGTCACTTAACTACTGTTTGCTTCAGTCTCTTCAGCTATAAAATGGGGACAGTAATAGCACCTACCTCCCAGGGTTGTTGTGAGGCTCCAGTGAGCTCATTTTTGTAAAGTAATTAGCACAGGGCTTGGCGCACAATAAGTGCTGTAAAAATGTTAGCTGTTATTATTACAGGAAAGGCTAAATTCCAGTTAGAGATGAATGAAAACAGAGGCCTTTTTTTCATGTCCAAGTTCACAGACCCCTAGAAATAGATCCATGGACCAGCTCAGGCCAATTAAGGGCCTGCATGTCTGTGATCTCAAAGGCATCTTCCCCCTCTCTATCTATGACCCCAAGGAGTGTCTGCTGCTGGAGCTGGTCTTGGGTTCAACCTGACCCAAGGGAAAGTGGTCTAGGTAAAGGGCTTCCCCTGTGCCAGCCTCAAGGCACAGAGTCTAAAGGCAGCCCAGACCTGTCATTCGTAGCCCCCTTTATATTTGGAAGCTGCACAACCCCACGCAAAGCACTAACGGCCAGACATAAAGATGCACTCCATTTATCTGTCCTGGGGGTCACCTGCCTGGCTGGGCAGTGGCTCTCCTCCCAGAGGCCATGCACATGGGCATGTCTTTGTGGAATGTGGCCTCAGGGCCATGTCTCTGTTCCAGAGGTGGAAGGCTACCTGTGCAGGAAAAGGTATCTGGGGGCACAAAGCAGCAGAACCCCCACTAAATGAGAGCCACAACTAGGAAGTTACTGCTGCACTCACCCCAAATCCTCCAGGCTCACACCTCCTCTGACTGGTTTAGATCTAGTTAGTGTCAGTCAGTCAGTCAGTGCCTACTATGTTCCAGGCACTATGCTAAGTGTGACGGACACAAGGAGAGGACCAAGATCGGCCCTGCTCCCATGGAGCTCAGTTTCTAATGGGGAAAACAAAGGCAAACACCTCTGCACAAACAGGACAGAGTTATCAGAATAATCAACCGAGGGGAACTTCATTCACTAGAATGAAGGGGCATCAGGAAAGGCTTCCTGGAGGAGGTGGGATGCTGGGATGTGGCCAGGTACAAGTTCCTGAACCTCCTTTTCAGTCTCAGTGGAGAGAGCGCTGAGCCCTGGAGTCAGGAAAACCTGAGTTCAAATCCAGCCTCAAACGTGTCCTAGCTATATGACCTGGGCAAGTCACTTAACCTGTCTGCCTCAGTTTCCCTCCCAGGGTTGTTGTGAGGATCAAATGAGCTAATCATTGTAAAATGCTTAGCACAGTGCCTGGCACATAGTAGGTGCTGTATAAGTTATTAATTATTCTTCTGATTCCAGCTGTGAGTCTCCAAAGACCTCAAGGACCCAAAGGCATGACGAATTTGAAAGCCTTCTATCTGAGTTACAAAAGAATGTGATATGGCCCGGAGCTTCATGCTTGGGTTGCTTATAAGGACTTTCTGGGTGGGTTCCATGGGATCAGAGAACCACTGCAGTCCTGTGATTGGGAGTGAGCCTGTTTTCCGGCCACTTTCACGATCAACTATCCTCCCCCTCGTGGAGGCCAGCCGCGTTTTCTGTGGCTGGTCTTCCTATCCACCCACATGATTTGCTAATGATGAAATTTGGGACTCCGATCTGGCTTCCATTTTTGGCATTTCTTTGCTCGACGAAAACTGACGATCCAGTTTAGCTGGAGTCAGTGTGCCAGGCCAATGTGCTAAGGCAGCACTGAGGCTTCCAGGCCGAGCACTTTCTTCAGATGACATTCTCCCATGTCCCTTTTACGTCCCTCCAGCCAGGCTGAAAAGAGACCCAAGCAGGCACAGGCCCCCGTGGGCAAACTGGCACGATCGCAATTTATCTGGGGCCTAGAGAGTCACTCTTTTGCTCTACGGTCAGTAAACTCAGAGAACTAGAATAAATATTCCATCATCATCTGGGACAGTGTGCTTGAAAACTGTGAGCTAAGCCCTCCTTGGAAGGGACTCCTCAACACCTTCCCACAAGCACCCTTTAGCCTTAGATAATTATTAAAAAAATGCACAGATCTGTGGCTTCTAAGTTGGCCAAGAGACTAAAGGAGGAGATAGATATAAGGGCATGGACAGTCCTATCGCTAGAGGGTTAACTTCTGAATAATTCCACATTTGCTGATCTCATTAGTGGTAACTCAAGACCCACCGAGGACAGCCAAAGAATGCAGCTTTCTGAGTGATCAGGGACTGTGCTGCCTTGAGAGAGTCCCCAGCAGAGCATGGGGGGCCTCGAGGCTTAACTCGCTTCCAGGTGACTAGACTAGGAAAGTTAAGGTACAGCAAGAAGGAAAATCCAACGACCCACTGGGCTCCACAACAGTTTTCTGCCTTCTGCTGGTCCTCGGGGCTGCCTGAGATTCCGGGGAAATTCGCTGCTTGGGGGCCCGGTGCTGACTCTTACTGTTTCTGGATGACAGATTAAAGAGGCTCCTAATGCAAAGAAAAACACAGACCTGAGGAATCCAACCAAGTCTTCTCCAATTCTGTGGCTTTGATTCAAGACCTCTAGAAGAGCTGGATAACTGAGCTCTAAGCCATGTCAGTAATCCATCTAAGAATGCAAAGGTCCGCAGTCAATCAGTTGGTGCTCACAACGTGTAGATTCCCCCTCATACCTCCCCTACTCAATTAACTCCAATGGCTCCTTATCCTACACGACGCCGCCCCACCCTGTCTCTGAGGCTGTGCTGGGCACCATTCCTTTCTAGGCAGCCACATGAGTCTCAGTCTCTCTCCCTCTGTCTCTGTTTCTCTCTCTCTCCTTTCTCTTCTCTCTCCTTCCTCTCTTTTCCCTTCTTTCTCTCTCCTTTCTCTTTTCTCTCTCCCTCCTCTATCTTTTCGCTTCTCTCTCTCTCTCACACACACACACACACACACACACACACACACACACACACACACACATTCACTTCACGCTCCATTTCCCAACTCTGGGCCAGGCCAGGAGCACTCTCTCTTCAGCCCACTTGGAGAATCCATCCCTCTCTTTCCTCAAACACAGCTCATGCACCACAGTCTGCGTAAGAGCATGGGTGCCTCCCTCCCTAGCTGCCTGGAATTTATCTATTTGTATTCCCTGATACTTCTAGAGGCCTTTGTCTTCCCCCAAAGAACATCAGCTCCTTGACAGTGGGAGCTACTTCATTCGTTGTCCTTGTAACCCCAGGGACCAGCATCGAGCTTCCTGAACAGCAGGAGATTAATAAATACTTGTGGACTGAATAATCAACATTCACTAAGAACCTACTGTGTGCCCAGCACTGGGGATTCAAGCCCAAAGAAGGAATCAGTCTTAACTCACAAGTAATTCACATTCTTTGGGAGAAGACAAGTAAATTAAAACACCTAACAGTGGGAGGAGGAGCCAGCCCTCAGTTGCTCACTGAGGGAAGGATTCTCCTGGCTCTGCTCACTCCCCTCTGCAGCCGTGAGTGCGTGAATGCGTGTGTGTGTGTAAATCTTTCCAGGCTCCTCTGTATTCATCATGGCACTGCTTCTCCCAGCATAGGCAGATTCCATCACACTTCCAAACCACAGTGTGCTCAGCCATTACCCAACTGATCACTTCCAGCTCTTTGCTACAACAAACAACACGGCTATAATTACTGTGGTGTATATGAAGCTTTTCTTTTTGGGGTACGTGCCCAGCAGTGGAATCTCTGGGTCCAAGATACAGACATTTTAGTCACTTTATATGCATAATTCCAAAGGGCTTTTTGAGAATGGTTGTGCTGATTCACAGCTCCACCAACAATGTACCAGTGTGCCTATCTTCCTACAAGTCCTCCAAAGCTAACTGTTCCCAATTCTAGCCATCACTGCCAGTTTGCAGGATGTGAGGTGAAATGCTACATTTCTCTTCTTAGGAGTGATCTGGAGCATTGTTAATAGGTTGTAATTGTCCTTACCTACTGGAGAAAGCCATTTGAACGTATTTCTGTTTGTTGTCCCCATTATCTTAGATACCAAACCCTCACCAGACATATTTGATACAAAGATTTTTTGACTAGGTGGCTGCTTCCCTTCTTATCCCGGGCGTGCTAATGCTGTGTCACGTCATCTAATCAAAGGGACTGATTTTGTCTTGGGTGGTTGTCCCAGGTTGACTCCACACTCTTCACACTGAGTTACGGCCATGTGGGAGGTCCTGGGTGCACTCTCAATCAGGACACATTTTTGAGTACCTAGGAGGAGCTATGTACTGTTCTAGGCACTGGAGATGCAGCATGTACTGAGGCATGATGGCCAGGAAAAGCTGCCATAGTCTAAACATTCTCTGGGATAGTGACACTGGGTTCTGGTAGGTCCTTCCAACAGAGATGGAAGTCTCAATCTAGCCCCTTGCCACCATTTCTTATGCTCCAGATTATACCCACTGGTCAAATGCACAACAATCTTCACTTATTCATGTAAAGAAGAGTAATTACAGACCTAGGTCTTCACTATGGTGCTGGCCAGGGGGGGAGTGGGGCGAAGGGCCAGAAGCAAGAGATACAATAATGAACTTACAGTGTGACTGCTGCAGGCACCACACTCATCCTTAAACAAGAACCCCTTTCAGGTATCCCTGACCTCCAGTGACCTAGTCGAGGGTAAGGCCTGTAGGAGACTCGAGGTGCCCAGAGGGCAGGGCATCCTGGGCTCCCTGGGGGGCACCAGGGCAGCAGCCCTTCCGGTCAGGAAGACATCTCTTCCCTGGAGACTCTCTCTGCTTCCCCTGTGCCCTTCATACTTGCTCTCTACAAAGAGTTTCAAGAGTACTGAGCCCAACTGTCTTAGCATGTGCTGTTGGCGATTGGAACAACCCAATGAAAGGGGTGGGCTCAGAAATACCTCACCTCAGACTGGACCGCTGTGGTGCCCAGACTCCCACGGGATCCCCTCCCCTGGCTGATAACCACCCTTCTGTCTCCTCCTTCCAGGGCCTCATGTTAAACAACAATAAATTAACCAAGATCCACCCCAAGGCCTTTCTGCCCGTCAAGAAGCTTCGAAGGCTGTACTTGTCCCACAACCTGCTCACCGAGATTCCTATAAACCTTCCCAAGTCACTAGCAGAGCTGAGGATTCACGACAACAAAGTAAAGAAAATACAAAAGGAGACATTCAAAGGGATGAACACTTTACATGTCTTGGGTAAGTTCTTCCATATGTGAAAGAAATTGTTCAACTGTTACCAAATGTCAAATTCTTGACTTGAAAGAGTACTCAGAATGGTCCATCAGAGGGTCAAGTGGGTGCTTTCATGGACCAGGCATTTTCTTCCAGCAATAAAGGAAGCTGATGATAAGTAGCATTTTAAACATTGATGACTGACACTGATCTGACCAATGAGTGCCCTCGTTTATAGCCTAAGACATCCTGCCTGTTGGAATTCTTCCTGAGGGATGCAAGGCCACCCCAGAACACTAAGAATGGCAGAGGCCAGCGGGCATACAGAGCACTTTCCATGACAGCCCCACCCATGGCTACCCCATATTCTCTCCCACCTTACCTGCAAGTTCATCGAACCACAAGGAAGTCCAGAAGGAATCCCACAAGGATCATCTGGCTTCCCATCAGTCATTTCTCCCTCACACCTTTGAACCTTCAGGCTGGACAGGAGAAGTGCTGTTAAAACGACCACTTCCCTATAATTTAAGTCAGGTGAGCTCTGTATTTTTAAAACCGCCTCCACAGATCAGAGTAAAAGGGTAAATGTCTGAAATTCATTTCCTAGGCTCTGTTTGGCTAATGTGCAAGAAAAATTTGCTTATCCATGAGTTAATTCAACAAATATTTGTGCAATAAAAAGCGAACACAGAAATTGATTTGCAAAATACAGTTGACTATTGGTTATTTGTGCTTGTGGATTTGAGACATCACCCTTAACTCTGGCCACTGGGTACGCTCTCATCCCTGACTGCACATCAGGACCTGGCCAGGACCTCAAACAGGCCCCTTACTTACTGGAAAAAACAGAGCCATTTACAAAAAATCTGTCGTCCTTTTGCTCATGAAGACGATGGGGAGAAGTGACCTTCTATCCCTAGCACCAGCACAGTGCCTCGCAGAACACAGGAGGTGCTCCATCAATGTTTGCCAATTGACCAACAGCACTTCTAACGTCCGTAATGTTCTTCCTCTTCTTGGTTTACCTTTCCCAATCAAAGCTCAGCTGCCAGGCCTAAGCAGAATGCCTGAAGAAATCCTCCTGGATCCTATTTTTACAATCTCTTTATAACGTTCACCGGGGGCTCATCAGACCCTCTCTTGGACCCCAGGTTTGCAGCGTTTCAGGATTGATGGCTTGCATGTTCCGGTCTATATAGTAAGGCAGGTGGTGACAACTGCAGCCACAACAGCCAAAACAAAATAGGAAACAGAAGCTTTGCACAGGAAGCCATGCTGTGGAGGCTGCGCCAGGGCCCCTGCGCACTGGGCACCAGTCTAGTCTGTGGGTGGCCCCACTCCTGGGCAGCAAGCCTTCCCTGGAAGCCTCATTTATAAGATCAAATGACATCGAGGTAGCGCTTCTTTTTTTTTTGTTTTGTTTTGTTTTTGTTTTTTAATGAGGCAATGGGGTTAAGTGACTTGCCCAGGGTCACACAGCTAGTAAGTGTCATGTGCCTGAGGCCAGATTTGAACTTAGGTCCTCCTGACTCTAAGGCTGGAGCTCCATCTACTGCGCCACCTAGCTGCCCCTGAGGTAGCGCTTCTTTCAAGTCAGTTGGTCAAGGTGCATTAGTAAGTTCCTACTACGTGCCAGGCACTGTGCCAAGAGCTGAGGATACAGCGGCGCTAAAGGCTGGTCTCCGCTCTCGAGGAGCTCCCAGGCGAACTGGGGAGGCTCATTTCAAGCCTCATCCCTGCCCCTGGAGGACGGCGTCATAGAGATGATCACCTCCGTTTGACAGACGAGAAGAAGCGGGGTCAGTGACTTACTTACCCAAGATCACACGGTTAAAAGTATCAGAGGCAGGAGGGTCTAGGGCATGCTTCATCATCTATAAATACAAACCGCTGCACACGTGTAAAGATACAGAAGCCCTCTTGCAGCGGCTGCTGCCATCCAGACCCATATCCTGAGTCCTTTGTGCCCGTCGGAGCTGGACGGGCCATGGGACAAGGCGGTCTGGAGGCAGAAGTCTCGAGGAGAGGGTCTGGGGTCCAGGGCTCCTCCTCCGGAACTGCCTGCCCGGGGCTCAGCTCTGGAGGAGCCGGCCGGACGGCTGAAGGAGCCCAGACCAGACTGGTGGCTCTCCTGCACCCTTCTCTGAAGCAGGACATGGGTGAGCGCAGGTTTTCTTCACAATACGTATCTGTTAGTGATGTTTTTTCTTCTTCCTAGAAATGAGCGCCAATCCTCTGGAAAACGAGGGAATAGACCCAGCGGCCTTTGAAGGTGTCACTGTCTTTCACATCAGAATTGCCAACGCAAAGCTGACTTCCATCCCCAAAGGTGCGTGCTCCCTGCCATTTAACTTAGCGCCAAAGTGTCTGCAAGCGGGGACAAACTGAACGCTGAGGGGTCACTGGGCGGCAGAGGAGCACCTGCGGGCACCTGCTCAGTGCCTCACCTTTGTCAGGGAGGGAGGGGAGCCTGGGGGCTGAGCACTCAGTGGGAGGAGACTGCAGGATTAGAGCCACGGGGAAGGCTTCATGGAAGAGAGGACTGGCCGCTGGGCGCTGAGACGCAGAAGGGCATGGCGGCCACAGGAGCGAAGACCGGGCGCCAGCAGCGTCTGCTCTAGGAGCAGGGCTGGGTAGGACGGGGTTCTGCTGGAGTGCAGAGAACAGACTAGAGGAGAGGCCCAGGAACAATGGGGAGGATGCCGGGAGGCCGAGGGCGGTGTCGGGGTCTGCCCCTGAAGCATCCTGTTTTCCCCCATGTGTGAGTTTACTTATGGAAAATCTTCCCAGGTAAATCTCACAAATATGTTATTGTTCAGCTGTTTCAGTTATGTCCAACTCTCTGTGACCCCATTTGGGGTTTTCTTGGGAGGTACGGAGGGGTTGGCCATTTCCTTCTCCAGCTCGTTTTACAGATGAGGAAACTGAGGCAAACAGGGTAAAGTGACTTGCCCAGGGTCACAGTCTTCCTGATGCCAGGCCTGGTGCTCTATCCACTGCGCCACCTAGTGGCCCACAAATCTCACAAAAACATTTCCCCAAAGGTGAGTAATATGTTCCCCAGCTCCTGTATAAGTTTTCAAATTAACATATACAAATGAGCAGAGGACAGTCTTTCTTCCATGCCTCAGAACACGTAAAAGGCAAGAGGCTTCATAGGGCCTCCAAACAGATAACGTAAAATACCGGAAGCCTTTACAACAGCTCTTTGGGAAGGAAAGGAAAAACACCTTCTCGGCTCTCCGTCTGGCAGTGAGTGCAGTTGTGGCCCAGGCAAGAGGGCCAAAGAACTCAGCTGACTATGACCGTCCAGAGCCTATCGCTTCAAACTCTGAAGTTTCCTTTGAAGTAACGGTTTCTTTTCCCAAATTATGTAGAAGGTTTGCGGTGACGAAGGTGATTTCAGAAGTTTGAGAGGCAGGAAAGGGCAGCCCACTGACTTAACTATTGCCTGAGATTCTTATGGCTGGTCTTGGAAACCTCTAGCCAGCTCCTGTCACGTTGGAGAGCTGCGTCTGTCGCCTTCCTGACTTTGACAGGGCCTGATAAAACAACGTGAGGCTCTGAGGCTCCCCACCTCCACGAAAAGCGCTGGGAACCATGTTCTCCTTCCTGATCTTTTAGGAAATCTGGTAACAGAACTGCATGTGCTAAAGGTCAGGAGCTCACCGGAGAGTCTGTTGCACTCTGGGAGAGCCGGGACACAACCATGGTTACACACACAATATACACACACCTACACCCACCCACACACACAGAGGTGCAGGCTCCTCTGGGGCATCTGTGTCTGGGGGCAGCTGTGGAGGCTTCAAACAGAACTCTGAGGGGCTGCAGCACGCTCAGCCTTCTCCCCATGTGGCTCTGGGAGGCTTCACTACTACTGAGCCCTCTGCCAGTGGGGCCAGAGATGGGGGAGCAAGGGATTCTGACCATCCAGTCAACAAGCAATGATTGAGCACCTGCTGCATGCCAGGCACTCAGCTAAATGCTAGGGACACAGAGAAGCAGCCAAACCAGGCCTTGGTCCCCAAGCGTTCCCAGCCCCACGGGGGTACAACCTGGAGAAATAAGTCACAAGGTAAATGCGGGCTAGATGGGGGAACGGAACCTGGGGCTAGAACCTGGGACTATTCTTCAGCTGAGGCAGCCGTGCGAATCCACAGGGATGTTTCACTTTTACGATCGCGCTACAAGATCTTTACCATCTGTGGCTTTTTACACGGTTTTTCCATGGAATTTTCTAACACCAACAGTCCCCGCGCTCAGCGGGACAGACCTGATGGAAGCTGGCAAGGAGTTAGCCCCAGGAGGCCGCCATCCTTGTTTCTGGAACGAGCACACGCAGTAAAACCCAAACAAGATGCTTTGGAAGCTCAACGGCTTTTCCAGTCTCCTCCGGCCCACAGACACATGCCCCGTTCTCGTCTAGGACCGAAGCCCAGCGCCGTTCAGCAGAACAGACGTCAATACCTTCCAAGCTTCCCTCCGGTACATTTGCAAAGCACACAGCGGGAGGATGAGAGCGCAAGGCCCCGCTGGGCCTGGGCTCAGGATGGATTCCCAGAGACTCGTCAAAGCCTGTGGTATCGGCTTACCTGGGAAAGCATCCTGGACGCCAGGCTTCCAGACCACCCACCACAGCTTGCTTTTAACAACAGGAAGTGGCCGAAGCAGCCAGGGCCGCCAGGACAACCTCAAATTAGCGACACCGCACCTATCGGATGCATGGCGGCCGAAGTCGCAGAGCGCTAGTGACTCAGAGAGGCAAGAGCACTCCCGAGTTTCTTTCCTCTGGCCACCTGGTATCCCTGGTCCAAAAGTTATGTGCTCCACAGAAACAGATAAAGGAGAGAACTTTGTCAAGTTTTTACTAAGAGAAAGCGAAAGAGCAAAAACAAGCCCTCCATCTGAAGTCCCATTCCCAAGGAGGAGGCATTGTGATGAGGAGGAGACACCAGGCCAGAAGGGACCAGGCACTGCCTCCTGCAGACCAGGGGCCTGGGGCCTTGTCTCCAGCCCTCGCCCCGCCCCTCCCAGGGATCAGGAAGGGGGAGCAGCTTAGCGAGGAAGAGCAAGGGGGGCAGAACACAGAAGGGAGTCAGCGTTAGAAGCCTGGAGAGCCGAGAGGGACCAAGCCGGGAAGGGCTTTCGATGCCAAACAGCCCTTGATCTGTACTGCGTCCCGAAGGTAGCAGGCGGCTTTTGGATCAGGGTGACGCACTCTGAGCGGACGTTTGGGAAAACCCAATCTGGCCGATGAACCCCAGAGGGAGGCCTGGGGTGGGGGACCGTCCCGAGACCCTGGGCGGTGGCTGCCCTCTTCAGCCGTGGCCAAAGCCTCTGAGGGGTCTCCCTGCCTCGAAAATCCATCCTCCCCCAGCCCGAGTTGGCTGCTGTCCCTCATGCTTCTGCTTGGCTCGGGCTAAAGACCCTTCACGAAGTGGGGGCAGCCTCTACTTCCCTCCGCTTCTTCACCTCCTGCCCGCTGCAGGCAGGCTGGCTTTCACGCTGCCCAGGTGGGCCCTCCGCTGTCTCTTTGAATCCCCAGCCTCTTCCAAAGCACAGCCCAGCCCAACCTCCCACAGAAGGGGTCGGCCCAGGCCTTAGGAGAACCCCCAATTTAGTCGGGAAACTAGAGTCCGAAACCCTGGGAAGCAAAATAGAAACAGACCACCTAGTCCTGAGGGCAACCGTCCAGAATGACGTCACAACAAATGCTCTGGGGGCGAGAATTCCAACTGCCCTCATTCTCATCAGTTGTGCCCAGTGACGGCTACTTCAGGGCTACTTTACCTCCTCTGTGCAGAAAAGGAAGGAAACCACCTACTATGTGCCAGGCACTGGGAGAAGCACTTTGCAAATATCATTCCATTTGACCTTCATAACCAGTAGGTGCTGCTATTATCCCCATTTTACAGGTGAGAAAACTGAGGCACTCAGCGGTGAAGTGACTTGCCCAAGGTCACAAAGCTAAGAAGTATCTGAGGCTACATTTGAACTCACGTCTCCCTGACTCCAGACCTAGTACTCTATGCTCTGCTCTCCCAGCTGGACAGAGGAATGTGTTTTCTAATGCTATAGCTCATGAGCCCCCACTGGTGTGCTCTCATCATGACAGTCAGTTCATATCAATTAGCCTGCCTTATGAGCTTTTACAAAGAGGTTTTACTAAGGTGACAGAGTGAAAAAGAAATGGTACAAAATATCCCCCCACCCCACCCCCAAATTGGTAGCAAATCTCCTGTCAGGGCACACCGAATCTAGGGGAAAAGGGGCTCCGGCTTGTTAGCAAACACACAAGGCAAAGGTGGCTCCTGGTAGCAGCTCCTGGTGCTGGAAGCCTTTGTTCCCTTTTTCTGGGGTGCTCAGCAAGTTCTCTTCGACCGGCTCTTTGCCGGGCTCCTCGTGGAGCCGTGAGTCTACCTTCCGACGTCACATCCAGTCTGTTACCGGCTTATGATGCAGACGCTGCTGCGAGCCACCGCTGTCTAAGGAAGCAAGGCTAGGATGTCAACGGGAAGATACAAGTCTAAACTTCTCTGGACCCTCAGAAGTTGGAAAGGTTCTTCTCCAGTCATGAGACAGGAAAAGGAGACTGAGGCTAACGTCAAAGCTCTCTTCCTCCCCGGGGCTTGGCTGGAATCCTTCGCTCTAATCTAGTGGCTGAAACAGAGAGTTTACAGCATGACCAAGACTCCTCTGCCAATCTAAGCATGCTTCCTGGGAGATGTCAATCCAGGGAATAAGGACTTTTCTTATTTAGCCTAAAGTCTTTGACTGATTGGAACGGTTACCATCTGGTTAAGGAATCACTTCCTTTAAATGGGGCAGCCAGGTGGCACAGCGGATAAAGCACCAGGCCTAGCTGTGCAACCCTGGACAAGTCACCTAACTAACTCTGCCTCAGTTTTCTCACATGTAAAATGAGCTGGAGAAGGAAATGGCAAAGCACTCCAGCATCTCTGCCAAGAAAACCCCAAACTGGGTCATTGACAGTGTCACAGACAGGACTGAACAAGAACAAACAGGGTAGAGCGATTGGGTTGATTCACACAATAAAGCCTCACCCTTATAACTAAGAGATGGCACAAAGCAGTCCGTAATTAATTACCCAAGTGAGTGACACAGACTAAAGAGCTCAGGGGAAACTGAGTCCACCCAAAGGGAAGTATCGGGGCTTGAACACAGGAAGCCTTGAATGCTAGGCAAAGACTTTAACTCTAGCTGTGTGACCTTAGACAAGTCAGTCACTGCTCGATAGTGAAGGGGTTGGTGCGGAAGATCTTTCTGGCCAGGCTGGCTCTGAAACACTCACAGGATCAAGGAGAAGACTCGCTCGGCACAAGTGATGTGCTGCCAGCATTCCCCTAACTCCTCATGCAGTGACGTGGAGCACCTGTGGGCTTCCCCTGCACTAAGGCGGCCCGCCAGGGGCCTTTCTTTCATGTAAGGGCTTTCCTGGTTTCTCCCTTGCTGTCCAGACAGATGCCACCAGAACGACGATGCTCTTAAACAGGTGCAGAGGGGTTCCCTCCAACTCCCTGCTACCAGGGCAGCCAGTGTCCCAGGCACTGCAGCTGCGAGCAGCAGAGCCCGCCACGCACGTGGGAGCCAGGCAGAGGCAGGCGGGTCTGGGGGCAGCACCGCACCACCCCTCCCAGCCCCACCAGAGGGAAAGGCTGGGGCGGGAGGAAGCCTCTGGACACCCTCGTCTACAGAGTGGGGCCATGTCCCTAGGAACCTTTCCCAACTCCAGTCCCTGGGATCTGCCTTTCCCAGGAAAACGGAGCGAGGCCAGGCAGAGTTCCTACCTGCCTCCACTTCACCTCGATGAATTCTTTTTCGTTCCTGTTTGTCTTCGATATTTCAGAGCAAGTCTGGCTCCGTCGTCTCTAAAACTGACTTCTCTGTGCCTTCAAGTCCTTTTCTTCCCCCTCCATAAGAGCAGGGCATCCAAGGCAGGGAGGCGGCTCGCTGACAGCACAGTGGCCTCTGACCCTGGTCAAGTCACTTAACTTCTGTCTGCCTGTGTTCTCAATCGTAGCACTTATCTCACAGGGCGGTGTTGGGGATCAAAGGGGATTATATTTGTCATCATCATCATCATCATCATCATCATCGTCATCACAGAATCTCCACAGGTGGAAGGGACCTCAGAGACCCACACAGTCCTAGACTTCAGTGAGAAGGGAGTGCACGGGAGGTGGGAGGTACAGCAAATGCAAAGGCATGGAGGTGAGAGATGAGGCTAGAGAAGCTGGAAGGTTAGGAGGGGCCCAGGTCCGTGCAAGCTTTAGAGGAGATTCTAGTTAATGCTCTCAGTAATTGGGAGAGCAGGGGGAGGGTGCAAGAGTCAGCCTATACTTTATTTGACTCCGTCCGTCCCCACAGAGAGCTCTAACCCACTGCCTTTCTCCTTCCTCCCCGTCAGGCCTCCCATCATCTCTACTGGAGCTTCATTTAGATGACAACAAAATTTCCACTGTGGAACTTGAAGATTTTAAGCAGTACAAAGACCTACAAAGGTAAAACCACATCAGTATGTGAATTTGGAAGCTGAGTTGCATGCTATACGAGGAAACCTCCTCTGGGGCCCAGGTGGGGCATGAGCCTCTGGTGGCCTCAGGGACATCAGGCCATCTATGGACAGCTTTGGGCCTGCCGGGGGGTGGGGAGGCATCCCCTCTGCCACTGATGGAAAATGGAGTGGATAAGACGGTGCACAGGGCCTGCCACCACCCCCACCTCTCATCCAACGATGCTCAAAGAGAGGTTTTCCCAATGGAAACGCTTTACCAAGTGAGGAAAAGTTGTCACTGAATGCTCAAAACTGGGACAGTCTCACTGGGAGCTGGGCAGAAAAAAGCCATGTGTTGACCAAGCCAGGGCCAGGCCAGGCCTGGCGTGCATCGAGCCTCCATCTTTTTATTCTCTTTTCAGGCTGGGCCTCGGAAACAACAAGATCAAAGACATTGAGAATGGAAGTCTTGCAAACATTCCACACGTACGAGAAATCCATTTGGAAAAGAACAAGCTGAAAAAAGTTCCCCCCGGATTACAGGACCTGAAATACCTTCAGGTAAGGTCTTCTGCCCAGGCGGCCGACCTGCTCTCTCAGGTTTTCAGAGAAAAAGGGTAACTTAGGGTTAGGCCCAAGAGAGCACTCTTCAGGTACGAAATCAAGAGACAGACAAGGTCCACCAACCTCATTCAAGTCCCTCCAATAGGCCTTTGGTTATTTCTGCTTCTGGTAAGAAGCCAGGCCCCAGAGAGGACGCATCTTTGTCTCCTCTTCCATTAAGAGGCGGCCGTCTCTGCCCAGGCCATCACCTCCACCCTCTTCTGTCTCCTCCAGCAGATCGCCCCCCTTCACTCATCTGCAATCTCTCGCTGCCTACTGGCTCATTCACTACGAAATCCATCCATGCTTCCCCCCGGCCCCATGCGACCCTTCCATCCCCACTAACTAGCCTCCTATGTTATGTCTCTCTTCAATAGGGACCTGCGCTTTCTCTCCTCTTAACCCCTTACTGTCTGGCTTCTGACCTTGCCCTTCCACTGAAACTGCCCTCTCCAAAGTCACCAGTGCTGTCCTAGTTGCCAAACCCAGTGGCCTCTTCCCAGTCCTCACTCTCTTCGGCCTCTCTGCAGCCTCTGACACGGCAGGTCACTCTCTCCTCTCTGGGTTCATCTCCACTCTCTCCTGGTTCTCCTCCCGCTTCTCTGACGCCTCCTTCTCTGTCTCCTTTGCTGGATCCTCCTTCACATCACCTCCTCCGACCATAGATATCTCTCAGGGTCCTGTCCTGGGTCCTCTTCTCCCTCTGTCCTACTTCACTAGGTGATCTCAGCAGCTGGACCGAATGACCGTCTCTGTGCTGAGGATTCTCAAATTTACCCATCCTGCCCCAGCTTCTCTGCTGACCTCCCATCTCACATCTTCAACTGCCTTTCAGACATCTCTAACCGGATGTCCAGTAAACACGTCCAAAACAGACCTCGTTCTCTTTCCCGCTAACTCCTCCCCGCTCTTAACTAGCCTGTTACTGTAGATCACAACACTATCCTCCCAGACTCCCAGGCTTCCAACCTAGGTGCCTTCCTGGACTCCTCACTCTCTCTCCAGATTTTGAGAAATAGTGAGGTCAGTGTATAGGGGCAGCTAGGTGGTGTCATAGTGCACAAAAGTGGCAGGCCTGGAATCAGGAAGACTCATCTTCCTGAGTTCAAATCTGGTTTCAGACCCTTACTAGTCGTGTGACCCTGGGCAAGTCACTTCACTATCTCTGCCTCAGTTTCTTCATCTGTAAAATGAGTTGCAGAAGGAAATGGCAAAGCGCGCCAGCATCTTTGCCAAGAAAACCCTACAGTGGGTCACAAAGAGTCGGACGTGACCAAACGACAACAAACAGGTGGTGTACCTCGGTGATTCAGTGCACAGAGAAAGGTAAAAGGGGCCGTGTTTGGAAGGGTGGTCAAGATCAAAAAGAGTCCTTCAAAGTAGATCCTGGTGGTGGGGAGCCGCTGGAGCCTGACAAACGGAACGTGAGCCGGTCAGACCAACTTCAGGGAAATCTCCTTGAGAGCCGAGAAGATGGATTAGGGGTGGGGACATCACATACATCCAGGAGAAAAGTGATGAGGGATTGATCTAGGACTGTGGCTGTCTGGGCGGAAGGAAGGGGACACATGCAAGAGATGCTGGGGAGGGAGGAATGACGAGGTTTGGAGGCTGAAGCAGAGTGGGCAGTCAAGCACGAGACATGCTTTCGGCGGCCGTGACCAAAGGCTCCGATGAGAGCGTGGGCAATAGAAGTGAAAGAAACCGGGCTCAGAGAGCGGAATGCCCACATTCTGACTCTCGGGGCAGGGCATCACGACGGCCGTGTGTCGGGGGAGAAGGAGGTCCTCCACCTGCAGGAAGCTGAGGAATTGTTAGGTTGTGTTGTTAGAGGGGCTGCTAGCGTTCACGAGGAAGTCAACAGGGATCCTGGTCAGGGATGGGTGACAAGCGCTCTGGGGCAGTGACCGGGAGGTGTGCAGGCATCGGCCACCAGGACAACGACGGGGCTGGGTAAGCAGACTGTCTGGAATTCCACGGTGGCAGGCTCAGTACTGGTGGCCAGAAGTAGGGGGCAACCCAGAATCAGCAGGGGGGCACACTTGGGACCTCAGCAGGCATCTGGTCCAGCCCATCGGTCCACAGCACCTCCTCTACAGCAGCCCCAAGGGTCAGCTGGGGTTGGCTTGAGGATCTCTCAGGGAGGAGAAGCCTCACTCCCCGAGGCAGCCAGTGCAGTTCACTGAGGGGGCCGCTGCTTGGACAGCCTCTACAGAAGGTTGGGAGGATGTGCAGTTCTCAGGGGAAAGGCTCTGAGGATACAAGGCTAATGAAAAACATCCCTGCCTTCAGGAAGCTTCCATTCCCACCTGGCATTGCCTTCACCTGCCTCTGGGAGAGAATATTTCACTAGCTGTCTAATTCGAATTGGAATTCCCCAGCCGACACCAGCAGCGAGGCTCTACTTACTTGGCACGAGGGTTATGAAAAAGGGAACAGGGGCCACGGGCATGTCTTTACTATGGCCTTCAAGGGTTGCTTCTCGCCTTTTGCTCCTAAGAACTAGGGCTCAGATTCCCTCCACAGGTTTTAGAAATGCCTTCTGCTCCCTTCCCCAGCCCCCTGTACACACACAGTACCCTGTTGTTAATGGCCAAGACAATAAAGTCACACCAAGCTGCCTATACCGTGACACCGGCTAGCACGGAAGGACCCCCAATACCTTTGAGGGCAGCCACATTCTTCAGGACCCCTTTAGTGGCCTGGCAAAGCTCATGGACCCCTTCTCGGAATTATGTTCTTTAGGGTTTTAAATGCTTCAAATAAAATCCATAAGATTCCAAAGGGAAACAATTACAGTGAAATACTTATCAAAACACGAGGGGAAAGGCTCAGCCTGTCTTGTGGAGAGCCCTTACTCTCCTCTCCGGGGTCTCCGGGGTTCTGACCATTTCAAACCAGAATCTGTGGAGCCACAACCCCAAGCTCCTGCCATCCTAACTCCCTGGCTTTAGCCATCTTCCCACACCAGCCCCGGTGAGCTGGCCTGGCCTATCCTCTGGCTAAGTGTCCTCTGCATCTTCTGGTACTCTGCCCTTCCAGCACTGTGCTGGCAGGACTCTTCAGTCATCCTTCCACAACCTGTTCAAGGAGGCTTTGAAAACTCCTTCCCCCCCAAGGCTGTCCTGAACTACAAACGAGAACCAGGGCACTTATGGTCCAGGGCCACCGGCCTCCATCTGTGCTCCCTGCCCGCGGCACCCTCTCTCCTCCTCCCTGCCTCCACCTCCTTCCCTGCTTCCTTACAGGCGCAGCTAAAGAAGCCTGTCCTGGTGCTCCCAGATGCCGGTACCTTCCTGCCACAATTCCCACCAACTTGCCCCGAATATGTCTATCCACCACCAAGCTGTCTTCTTGTTTTTAACAGGTGATCTTCCTCCATTACAACAATATCACCAAAGTTGGAATCAATGACTTCTGTCCCACGGTAACAAAGAAGAAGAAATCCTTATATAGCGCCATAAGTCTATTCAATAATCCCATGAAATACTGGGAAGTCCAGCCAGCCACCTTCCGGTGTGTCCTAAGCCGAATGAGCGTCCAGCTTGGGAACTTCAGAAAGTAGTGCTTAGGAAGGAACCCACTGACCCGAAAGGCCTCTACAGGGCTGCTTTCAGGATACTTGAAGTCTGTTAAGGTTGGACAACTCTCACCCCCGGTTAGTCTTTGATTTGGATGTTGCAAATACGGCACACAATTTGACAGTTCCTTCCTTCATTTACTTGGCAAAAATGATGGCAGAATTTTACAAAAATATTGGCACACACTAGCAGTTAGGGGGACACAAATATCCATCTTAGCTTCTGTTTGCAGAGATCTTGTCAAATGACACGCTTCAAAATTTCTTTTTTTCTTTTAACTAAAAATGCAAGATAACAGGCAAAGACTTTGCCCTTATGACTTTTTACTAACCATTTTTTTTTTTTTTTTTAGTTTTTAGGCAATTGGGGTTAAGTGACTTGCCCAGGGTCACACAGCTAGGAAGTGTCAAGTGTTTGGTTTGAGGCCGGATTTGAACTCAGGTCCTCCTGACTTCAGGGCCAGTGCTCTATCCACTGCGCCACCTAGCTGCCCCCTAACCATTTTTACAAAGGAGAATAATGCATGCAAAATGTCTGAATTCTGTATAGGCCCATTCACTGCTAGAAAACAGAATCGATAAGGACAGTGGCATCAGGGGCTATAACCAGTGTTGCCCTGTTCTATCACTGATGAATCAGGAAGTACTGTAACGTTCTCTTTCTAACGCCACGAGTAGGAGTGGATAACAGGAACTCCTCCTGGGCTCACAGCAGGGGATGTCTGGTCCACGTGTCCTATGACAGCCAACAGAGGTCACTGCCACCTGCCGACCTCCTAGTGAGGAAAGGTGGGCTCGGGCTGGATCACATGTTTGTTCTTAGGGTAGTTACAGAACCTATGTAGAAAAACTATGTATGTAGTGAGTTAGTGGGTTTCTATCAGAACAAGTCTATAATCGCCTTCGCCATTATACTAGCTATCTTTGTATGCTTTTCACGTCATATTGCTAGACGATGTGCAATTAATTACACAGCGTAACCTCACTACCTAGGGCATCTTTGGGGAGATCCGTCGTCCTCACCTGGTCCGAGGAGCCCGGGTTCTGGACCATATGTTTTACGGTCTAGAACCAAAGATTCCCTCCAAGCTGATCAAACTAGGTAGCATTAAAAGATATTTGTTTTAAGAGATCTGGTAGCTTATGTAAAATATACAAATATTTAAAGTTTTATCTAAAAATCAGGACTATTTTCTATATCTCCTTACCTATATATTTATTAGTGGTATTCAAGATAAGTTAAGTAATATTTGAGAATAAGGAATACATTATTAAAGATGTTTGATTCATATCCAACTTTACTGTTTGGCATTAAGCTGTTTTTTTCTCTTGCCCAGGAACAGAAGACATTTTACAAAACAGCTTCATTAAGACACATTAGAGCCTGAATGATCACAGGGGCCTCCTTAGTCAGAGCTGACAGAGAGAGCGCCAAGGTCTTTCCACACTTGGTTGTACTTTGCCCTCCCCCACCCTCCCACCATCCTGAAAGGCAGAACCAGGCAGCGCCAGCAGGAGTGCTCCTCCTGCCCTGTCCCAGCCCCTGGGGCGGGGGGGGGAGGCCTGGGAGACTCCCAGGGAGGAAACTCCTTCCACCAAGGCAGAGACACACCTGCTGTGCAACACGTCACACACACACACACATAACATATGCATGTGGATTATACACAACACACAAAAAACATAGACATGCATATACGTGCAAGCATACACACATCATATATTATTATAACATGCATTGTGTTACATGACACAGAATATAATGTGCCATGCATGTTACACATGTCTATCTACGAAGTTATGTGTCATTACAGTGCTGTGCTTATACATACATGTGCCGTGTGCATGTACATGCATGTCCCCCCCAGACACGGAGCAGGGCCCTGGGAGCACCCCACTGCAGGCACCAATAGCCCAGATGAAGCACATAAGCCCAGCACTGCTTGTCAGGGCTGTGGAGGTTAGAGGAGGCCAGGTTTGGGGGGAGGATCTGGCTTTGAGCCCCAGCCTGGCTCCTTACTGCCTGTGGTGGCTTCTTGAGTGAGGCACAACCGTCTGGGGTCTCAGTTTCCTCCTGAGAAGGCAGGGACTTAAACTAGAGGACCCCTAAGGTTTCCTTCCTGAGCGACATCTTCAGACTCTGTAAAGCATCAAATGTTAACGTTCTGAAAAAAATAAGCCAAACTGGAATAATTCTGCTGGTCTGAATTCTACATTGTTAACTTAAAAAATAAAACTCTCCTTCTGCAAAAGCAAGAACAAAAATGGTCTAAAACTGGTCACAGAATCACCAGAATGACTTGTTTGGGCAGGGGCAGGGGCACCCCCTATACTAACAGCCTTCACCTCCCAGGGCTGTCATGAGGATTGAATGAGTCTGTATTTGTTAAGCACTCAGCAGAGGGGTGGGCACACAGTAGGTGCCATAAAAATGCTTCCGTTGCTGTTCAGTCACGTTGGACTCTCTGTGACCCCTTTTGGAGATTTCTTGGCAAAGATACTGGAATGGTTTGCCATTTCCTTCTCTAGTTCATTTTACAGATGAGGAAACTGAGGCAAACACGGTGAAGTGACTTGCCCAGGGTCACACAGCTGCTAAGTATCTGAGGCCTGATTTGAATTCAGGAAGATGAACCTTCCTGACTCCAGGCCTGGTGCTCTGTGCACTATGGCGCCCCCTGGCTATTCCTCTTAGGATACACGGCACAAAATAAATAGGAAACGATTCGAGTCGACACCTTGGACATAATCACCCCATTTCATCTGCCCACGATCTCTTGCTCAGACATCTGTTTCCCCCGCACGGCTGGAAGCCGCGTTTCCTTTGAGTTTCCAAATAAATCCCTAATAAGGATCCAAGCCTCCTGCATCCAAGTCAGGGGTCTTCTGTGCGCTCTCCTGGGCCGGCAGACCTTGCCTGGGGCTGCTCTAAGCGAAGCCCGCTGGGTCCAATCAAGTCACCAACGCAGGTCTGCGGGCCGGGCGGGCGCTCTCCTTTAGAAACCCGCCACCTGTTCCCAAAGCTCAGACACAAGGGCCGGCCAAAGGACCCACCTCCCAGTCCTCCAGCGCACGCAGAGCCGGGAGTAATTAACGTGGAGACGAGTCATGAAAGAAGCCTTGTTACTGTTACTGTTTCTGTCTGTTAATTTGTTCCGGGAAACACCAGGCATCCTTACGAAACCTGCACCAAAGTGAAGCTGCGGGCAAAGTGGGGACTTTGCTTGAGCGCGAGGTCATTTCAGAGCACGGCTTGGACTGCTCCGTTCCTTCATCTTGCCTTTCACCTTCACGGCAACGTTTCTCTTTCCCTTCGTTTGTTGTTTTCAGCTTAAGGTCTCAAACGACTAGCAGGGGGAGGTGGATGGTGGAGGAAATACAGGAGCAGTGGGTGAAATGCAGGTTTGTAGGGTTCCAACGCTGGCCCAGTCACTCCGCGGTCTGGAACCCGGGCATCCCGGAGGCCTGAGCAGCTACACTGCGGGCAAGTTCTAATCCGCCACGGGCAGAAGGACTGGGATAGGCCCGGGAGGCTTTGCTGTCCGATAAGTATTTGCACCTTAAACGCCAGGAGCAGAGGTGAGAAAGAGCCATCCCAGGAGGTAAGGGACAGCAAAGTGAGATCAACAAGTGGGTGGCGGGCAGCCGTCTACACTAACCTGGAGGACAACAAGCACATGCCAAAGGCACAGATCCACTGGAGCTTCTGGGAAGCTCAAGGCACACTAGGAACAATAATGGACCTGCTGCCACCTGGATATCAAGAGGAAACCTGCTGGCATGAGGAAATGGGGAAGGGCAGGGGGTCTGACCACCTGTGGGCTGTAAACATGCAGAGGAATGGGGTAAAGCAAAAACCGATCCTACCGCTTCCCTTCTCGAGCCCCCAAATCTCCATTCAGTCACTGGCACTGGTGCTCAAGGAGCAGGAGAAAAACACGATGGGTGTAGGATATGTAAAGGGGAGGCCTGCAACAGTGTAAGAGGAGAGTGAGAAAAGGGCTCCAAAGGATGATGGAGCCTAAGGACTCCGGGAGGCAGAGGCCAGAAAGGAGTCTAGGCAGCATGGAGAGTCTGGGCAAAGGCCTGAAGGTGGGAGAAAGAATCTTAAGTGTAGGGAACGCCAGGGTGGCCCAAGTGGCTGAAAGGAAGCCGGACTGGGTAACAGTAACTGAAAGTCAGTCTGGAAGGGTAGGCTGCAGCCTGGCTGGAAAAGGCCTCGGGGCCAAGAAGAAGGGTCTGTGTTTTACCTCAGAGCCAGGAGAGAGCTGGTCAGGAGAGCCTCTGACGGGCAGTGACCAGAATTCAGTCTGGAGGAGGCTGGGGGAGAAAGGCCTTCCACCCCACGCCCCTCGACCATCCCCACTCTCTCATTCATCCATCCCCTCTCCCTGGACGGTGGCTGCTTCCCTGCTGCCTGGGACCCAGCTGTCCCTGCCAGCTATCGTCTCAGGCCTCTCCTCCTCTCTAAGGCTACACCCTTGAGAAGGCTGGCTACACCATCTGCCTCCACTTTCTCCCCCTTCCCTCAGAGATTATCTCCAATTCATGCTGTAAATATTTTGTCTGTACCTGTTTGTTGGCATCTTGTCCCCCATGTTAGACTGGGAGCCCCGTGAGAGCAGGGACTGTCTGCCTGGCACACAGCAGGCACATAATAAATGCTAGCTGACTGGCTTGACTATCCTGCCTCAGTTTCTCTGCTGATCACCACTCTTGCATCTCCACCAGCCTCTCAGATATCTCAAACAGGGCGTCCAGGAGGCTTCTTAAACCCAATATGTCCAAGACAGAACTCTTTATCTTTCCCCTAAAGCTTTGTCCCCCCCACCTGATTACTGGAGAGGGTAGTACCCTCTTCTTAGTCTCTCAGGCTCCCAACCTTAGACTTATCTCAGACTCCTCACGCTCTCTCACTCCCATATCCAAGATGGTGCCAAGGCCTGTTGATTTCACCTTCCTAACACCTCAGACATACCCTTCTCTCCTCTAACACTACTGCCACCCTGGTACAGACCCTCATCACTCATGCCTGAGTCTGCTTGGGGGAGGGGGCAGTTGGCACGCAGGTAGGTGGCACAGTTCATGAAGCACCAAGGCTGGAGTCAGGAAGTCCTGAGTTCAAATTCGGCCTCAGGCACGTAATTACCGCATGACCTTGGGCAAGTCATTTCACCCTGTTTGCCTCAGTTTCCTCATCTGTAAAATGAGCTGGAGAAGGAAATGGCAAACCACTCCAATATCTCTGCCAACAAGTGGGGTCACGGACAGTCAGACACGACTGAACAGTAACAAGCTGAGGGGTCTTCCTGCTCAAGTCGCCCCCTCTGCAGTCCACCCTCCACCCGGCTGTCAAATGGATCTTCCCAAAGCTCTGACCGTGCCCCTCCCCCATGACTCCCT